CACAACAGACAGATGCCAAAATATGCTCTTCAAACGGAAATATTTCCAAGACCTTGGCATATGTATATCTGGCAAAAATTAAAAGGACGTTTAGTCACAATGGGAAATCTTTACACAGCCCCATAGGAAAACATTGTGTGAACATTGTGTGAGTGTGCAGTCCAACTGGTGGACGGCTAGTAGTTTACATTTATATGTAGCTGTTGTTATATATCTTTTTTACTGTATTTATAATCCTCGTTTTACCAATAAACATTTAACACATAATAAAGACTCTCAGAGCACTATGGGTTATCTAAAGAGACAGAATGGCAGTTGCTGCCTGCTAGGAGGATGGAGTTTCTCAAAATGAAGCTTTGGACAGAACCGTCTGATATGGAATGAACATTCTTTCAAAGACTCAACAGGATTTGTAAACATTGACTCCTTTAAAACACATCTAAACCCAAAAACAAAAAATACATACCTCCCAACTTTAGAACTTAAAGTGGTTGGAAAGAAGAAGTAAAGAAACCCCACACAAACATGTCTATACTTACCTGCTCTGTGAAAGAGAATTGAACAGAGCGGCCCGTTCCTCCTTTCTTTTCTCGGGTCCCACACCGGCACTTCTGGCTCCTCCTCTCTTGCCAGTTCCCCCAATAGGAAGCGGATTCCCATGGGGGCACTTGTGCAGAGGTGCTTGTGAGTCCCACTGCGGCGTCCATTGACACAGACAGTGAGACTTGCCCCCCCCCCCCGCTCTCATTCACTTGTGTTGATTGACAGAGAAAGCCTCTTCACTGGTCTGGTCTGGAGATATGAAATCCCCGCAACTTTCTTCTCCTTGCAGCGATGACAGTATGAGCTAGACGGCTTCTGATTGGTCAGCACTGTCCATGTGACAGTGCTGACCAATCAAAACCCTCTAGCCTGAACTGTCACCCCTGCAAGGAGAGAAGAAAAAATTGGCTGGGATTTCAAATCTTTCAAATCCCCACCACTTTCTCTCCTCTCCTACCACTGAGAATATGGAGAATCTGCTTCCATAGTATACATCCCCACATGCCCACTCTCCACTCAGCATAGGATGCCTGCAAGGAGGTTTCCCGCACCGCTCCTGTGTGAGCAAGTGCTATGACAAGCCTGGGTTCACACAGGAGCAGTGGGGAAACCGCATACGATTTGGACAGGAATCTCATTGTTGTTCAAATCGCATGCTAATCTTTGCGTTCAATTTGTATTGATGCAAATCTCACCGCAAAGTATCGGTTTCCAGTACTGGGAACATTTTCAGTAGTACCTTGCTAGCAAGGAGTTAAATATATGCCAGGACAAAAAGAAGTTCAGAATATCTTTACCATAAATGTACATTTTCCATGTTTTATATCTTTAAAAACACTACAAGTACAGAAATGTACTGATCTGACATAAATCCAGCGTTGTCCTGACTTCCTGCTTGAGTCCTTGTTGCTCTGCATTCTCACTCAAAATGGTCAACCTCTCCTGCTGGACTACAGAACAGCACCTGTACCCCCTTCCCTCCCTCTTCCCACTCCACATATACACATTGATCTCTTTCCCAGAATAGCAAAATTTTGCCCAAGCACTCTTTTTATTTATAAAATGTTTGTTGAAAGATTGTCACACACAATCCTGCTGGCTGGACGAATTTTGCCCGTATTTTTGTAATAGATTCATTACTTTTATCGTGAGCACCATCTATTAGCCAAATGCAGTATATTTTCTCATTAACCACTTCCCGTCTGCCCTATAGCAGCTATACTGCTACAGGGCGGCATGGGTGCGCAAAATCACGTATATATACGTGATTTTTCAATTCATGGTAGGGGGCGCGTGCGCCCTACCCGCTCTGCCATTCGCGGCCACAGCTGTCACTCACCGGGTCCCAGCCTGTGGTTACTTGCCGGTGACCGGTGATTGCTAAGGATCTTCGACAGGGGAGGAGAACTGTTAGTAAACAAAACAGTTCTCTCTGTCAGCTTGTGCACACTGCTTGGATGGCTGTGCACAGCACAGCCATGCAAGCAATGTGCTTACAGTGAAGTGCACAGACACAAACCCCTAGTAAAACACTCACAGCTCACAGTTAACCCTTTGATCGCCCCTTATGTTAACCCCTTCCTGCCCAGTGCCATTAGTACAGTGTCAGTGCTTTTAATTAGCACTGATCACTGTATTGGTGTCACTGGGGATGTCAGTGACACCAAGTCAGTTCCCCTCCAGTGTCAGAATGCCAGCTGCAGTCCAGCTATAAGTCGCTGATCGCTGCCATTACTAGTAAAAATTAAAAAAAATCTCAGTATACATACCGCCATTTGTAAACGCTATAACTTTCACGTAAACCAATTAATTTACACGTATTGGGATTTTTTAGCAAAGGCATGTGGCAGAATACATTTTGGCCTAAATTTATGATGAAATTTGATTTTTTTAATTTTTTTACTGGACATGTTTAATAGCAAAAAGTCACAAATATTTTTTTTTTCTCAAAATTGTCGCTTTTTTTTTATAGCACAAAAAATAAAAATGCCCAGGAGATCAAATACCACTGAAAGAAAGCTCAATTTGTGGGGAAAAAAAGATGTAAGTTTCATTTGGGTGCACCATTACATGACCACGCAATTGCCATTAAAGTAACGCAGCACCGTAACATACAAAATGGCCTGGTCAGGAAGGGGGGGTAAATCTTCAGGGGACAAGTGCTTAAAGTAATTCAGAAATCTATACTGCATTTGACCACTAGATGGAGATGATGATCATAGGAATTAATCTATTACACAAACTACAGGGAAAATTCCTCCAGTCTACAGAAATGTTTGTGATATTCATCTAATGAATGTTTTATAAATAGACCCCTAAGAAAACATAAAGGGCTCCTGAGAGATATAGTTCTGGAGACAGGTCTTTGTCAGTAGGAACTGAGCTCTCAGCAGCAGTCCCTGCAAATAACTGTGCATGCCTGGTGATGATGTTGCAAGAAACAATAAAAGCTTTTTTTCATTATAAGAAAAGCAGTTTATTACTCGAACACTTTAAAGGGAGACTAGAGTTCCACCTGCTGGTCAAAAGGAGAACAGAAAACGTTAAAATAATTTTATTAATTAATTATATGAATCATAATAAAGAAAATATGTAAACCACTGTCCATTTCTTTGTACTGAGAGAAATATAAAGAGTGTGCTTCAGAAAATACTGTGCCTGACCGCCATGCAAACTACGTGACCACAATACTTTTATGAACTGCTGCCTGGAACAAGTCCACAGATCATATCAAGTATGCAGATCAACCTGATCAATTCCTTTCCCCCAGCATGCCATTGGCTAGTGAAGGAGTTGTTATAGGAAATGTTGTTCTTTATAGACAGACCGAAAACTTTGAGTGACCTAAAAGTATAGTAGTTTATAAAGAAAGCTGCCTCTCAGCATTCCTTTGGAAGAATGTTCCGTGTAAGTAGCGTTCTAAGATAACAATGAGAACAATACATTTTGTGGGGAAGTTAGATAGAACATAAAATATAATTGAATGCAGTAATCAAAAGACTATGTACATGCAATCCTTGACTTACATAGATCCATAGAAGACTGACAGAGGGTGTAAAAACTCCATTACTTGGTTGACTTTAGGAAGGCAAATACTGTCCATTGCAACTATTCAGCTTATAGTATGACACTTTTTGTTCAGGTATCATTGTGAAAAAAAGCATTATCCAGTTATCTTGTGCAAAGTTTGTTCTTTTTTTTTTCTAAAGCACACCTGTAACTATCATATAACCTTATAAATGAAGACTCAGGCCAATTTATAACAGAGAATGTATTTTGCTAACCATTCTCCCTAAATACTCACTATTTTGAAGCCCATTCATAAAATGTTTACAGTATTGTGCGGTACTTAATGCAGCGGATTTATTGGAGAACAGCTGTCTTGTGACTTTGACAGGATGTATTAAAGCAGGGGTGTCAACTTCATTTCATCGCATGCCGTATCAGCATTGCGGTTTACCCTCAAATGGCCGGTTGTATCTGTAAGACTAGATGTCCAGAGCACCCCACCCCCCATTACATCAGATGTCAAGAATCCCACACCCTCCCTAACTTCATTGTGCACCCCTTTGGGGCCAGAGCTGGAAAGCAGAAAGTGCAGGGTCTGGAGGAGGACCAGAGAGGAGTGCAGGGGTACCTGCAGGAGAGGTGCAAGGGCCTTGGAAATGGCCTGGAAGGCTGGATTCGGCAGGCGGGCTTTCTGTTTGAGACCTGTGTATTAAAGTGATCAAGCTCTCCTCCTGGCTTTTTTTCAGAGCTCCTATTAATTTTCCATTAGCATAGTTTAAAGTATAGCTAAAGGCAAACTAAAGGAAATTTTTTTTATTTTTTTTTAAAGATTGGAGAGGGATCAGAAACACCTGTCGGGTTAATATTCCTGTCTGTGATGCCTGTTAGGGATATTTTTCCCTCTCTCTTTCCTCTCTATTTGTTATGTTTACTGTTGCCACTGAAAGAAAATCCCAATTTTAGGTTGTCCCCAAAACAGTAATAGAAGGAAAATCGTCCATTGGGGACACTAGTTTAGGTGACCCTGGTGACAACCAGGATTCCGTCCCTTTAGAGGCATTTCTTCCTGCTTCCTGTTTGGGCTATGGGCCTGAAAGTGAAGAAAAATTTACCAGAGATACCACAGATGGCAAAAAAAACCTTACGGGGGTTATAAGCCTCACTTAAGGAAAATTAAAGTTTGCCTTACAATACAGGCTAAGAACAATTGACCAGAAGAGGTAATAATTTGAAGGAGACCTCTGCTTAGCCCTGGTTCACACTATAAATCGCACAGAAACACGCTGGGAGTTTGGAATGAGCTCAAATTGCACTGCATTGCACCAAAAGAAATACATGCACTGCTTTTGGAAATGCACTGCAACCAAACGGCAGGATACTTTTGTACCCTGCCATTTGGTGCAGGCAAACACACTGCATTTTCGACTTGTGTTTGGGGTGTCGTTAACTTAACCACTTAGCGTCCAGCCCATGTAGTTAAACGACGGACAGCAGCAGTGCAGGAGCGGGTGGCCATTTATAAACGTCCTCCTGCTTCCCTGCCTGCTCTAACTGCTGATGAGAAAAGGTATTTAGCAGTTTATATTTACTAAAATTGCATTTCCATGTTTTGTGTATTGTGGGAAACCAGATATAGTGAATGCAAGGTCCTGGGTTTATAACACAACCACTTCCCGTCTGGCCCATGTACATAAACGGCCAGACGGGAGCAGTGCAGGAGCGGGTTGCTGTTCATAAACGGCGCCCACATTTACAGCCTGTGCATGCTCCCTGGAAGCGCGCGGCACACCGATCGCTGTACGGGACCTCTGTGTGAGGTCCCGATGATGTGATCACTGATTGGCCAATCAGTGATCACATGAATAGTAGTAAGCAAGATGTCACTCCTGACATCATTGCTTACTACGTGTGAAATCTGTGAATGATCACAGAGGTCACATGGTACAAGGCTATTCACAACAGACTTGTACCATGTAACAAGCTGTGACCAATCACAGCTCTCATGGTATTTCTCAATGGCTGCAAGAATGCAGCCAGAGAGAAGGAGAAATGATTGCTTTTACAGCCTTTATGGGTGTAAAAGCAATCAGTGTAAAAAAAAAAAAAATCTTCATCACCCCCCTACAAGTAGTACAGTGTCAATATGGTGACACTGTACTGCTAGGGTGACAGTATGGTAAAAAAAAAAAATAAATAGTTAAAAAAAATAAAATAAAAATGTGAAATTGTTTTTAAAAAACTTATAATTTTTGGTTATAAACTAATTTGGGTTACTTTGTTTTTACTAAAAAGATAGCTGAAACATTTTGGCCAATATTTATGAAGAAAGATTATTTATTTGCAAAATGTTATGAGAAAAACACTTTTTTTTCAAAATGTTTTGGACTTTTTCATTTATATAGCAAAAAAAAAAAAAAAATCCCAGTGGTGAATAGATACCACCAAAATAAAGTTTTATGTCTCAAAAAATGCTAAAAGATTCATAAGGGTACAGTGTTGCATGACCGTGCAAATTTTTATTCAAAGTATGATAGCACCGAAAGCTGAAAATTGGCCTGGACTCGAAGGGGGTGAAAGTATCCGGACTTGAAGTGGTTAAAATTGACACCTGCTGCAGATCGCAACTGCAGAGCGTTTTGAATACAGTGTAAACCTAGATTTAAGCCAGACATAGATGGATCAAATCTTGACCACTTCAGCACTGACTGTGTTGATGGGGGAATCGAGCTATTGGAAGGAAAGAACATTTCATAATCTATGGGTTGAACTACACTGCATCTAAACATCACAAACCAAAAGCGCTATTTAATTCATTTTTTTAATATTCAAAGCAAATTTCCACATCCATCCATGGCTACATGCTTTATTTTGCTGAGAAATCACTTTGAGAACCACCCCTCTAGCATTTCTGGCCACGGGCAGATGAGTTCACTCCCTGGAATCTGCAATCCATCTGCCTTAGCTGTGAAAGCCCCTCCTCCCCTCCTGAAGGCTCCTGGGATGTATGACATCATATGCCTAGGCATGGAAACCAGGAAATAACTGAAAAAAAAAAAAAGTTTAAAACAAGTAAATATAATATACTTTCCTATCTATTTACTAAGGCTAGCAGCATAAGGAGTACAAATAGTCACTGTTGATTGAGAGAGTGAAGTTCCACTTTAAAGCAGAGCTCCAGCAAAAGGGGACAATTGACAGGTAAGCTGTTGGCAGATTACTGAGGTAGAAATGGAGAGATGCATGGTCTTAGATGTCTCCATAGGGGGGCAGGCCCTGTGCCTGATTAACATCTATGGTCCCCAAAGTGGGACAGGAAATGCCTCTTCATGAAGATCAAGCCTTTTCTTTTTATAGCCCAGCAAGTTGTCTTCTGTGGTGATTTTAACACCGTCACTAGGACTAAGGACATGAAAGGTACTGGAGCCAGGCTGGTCTGGTTGATGTGCACATTAATTGCTTCCCAGACAACACGGGATTCATTTTTCAGCGAGGTGCTAGTCAGAGCAGAATAGATAGGGGTTTTTTAAAGGGGAACTCCACCTTCTCAGCACCAGTTTGTCAGGCGGTGGAGTTTTCCGACCACTGTATTCTGTCTGTGAGTATGAGTAGTCCCAATATACCACCTAGGGAGAGGTACCTGGAAGCTGAATTTGGCATTCCTTGACGATGAGAAGGTGAGTCAATCCTTTGAAGATTTTTTTCAGGCATCAGGTATCGATCATGGACTTTGCCAGCAGTAATCAAAGTGGTGGGAGCTTACAAATCGAAAGATCGTTGGGTTTTTCAAGGCCATAGGAAGAAATAAACAGCTTGACAATTATGTCACCTACCAGCGCATGTGGAGGAAGCTTGATAGGCTTGTCTCCAATAATGGAGATCTGGGGATGATCTCTGAGGTTAAACTTTTGCTCAGGAGTGTCAATATAACAGGCATGCCTCTTTGGTTCTGGAAAGGAATTATGGAAAATAACTTGCCCAACCCTTACCAGAATTGCAAACAAGGCAGAGCAGTTAAGTCAGTTGTAGGCCTGGCTGACAGTACAGGTTCCTTGAAAAATTCCAAGACGGGGATGCTGGAAACTATATTATGCTGACCTAGGTACGAGGAACCTCAATCGGTAGAGCATTTCAAATTTTCTGGATTCTACTCCAGGACTGGAAAATGGCAGTTCTCTTGTGAGTTTGACAGAGGACATCATGGCACATGAGGTGATTAAAGCTATTGATAAGTTTGCCATTAAGAAGTCGCGTGGGCCAGAGGGATTGACAGCCAAGTTTCATAAGCACTTTAAGTTTACTCTGGCCCCATATTTGGTGGGTTTTTAATGGCTGTCTGAGAGAGGGTTTGCTCTCTCCCTCCATGTGACAATCTGGAGTGATTCTTCTCTCAAAGGGTAAAGACTCTTCGAGAATTGAGAATTGGCGGCCCATTAGCCTTCTCAATGTTGATAGGAAGATACTGGCATAAAAAATCATTTTTTCTGATGTTTATCGTCTGTCGCGGGCAATTTACTTTCTCGTCATCTGCACTCTTCAGTTCAGGGTAAAAGCACTTTTTCAGCGGTGTTAGCTGTCTGGGAGGCCCTGGAGTGGTGCAGGGCTGCAGACTGGGGAAAGTTTCCTGCTGGCATTGGATCAGACTAAAGCTTTTGATCAGGTAAATCATGAGTACATATGGCTTCTTCTTTGCATGTATGACCTTGAGGGGTGCTTTATTGATTGGCTAAAGACTTTATACAGAGGGGCTGAAAGCTTTGTGCTTGTAAATTGTTGGATTAGGCGGTTCTTTGAGGTTGGCTCGGGTGTGTGCGTCAGGGGTGTCCTTTGAGTCCTCTGTTATACGCATTTACAATCGATCCCTTCATTCGGAGGTTAGAGAGTGGACCGTTGTGTGGAGTTGCTTTGGGAATTCATGGGGAGCCTCCTCTGAGGGTCGTGGCCTATACTGATGACGTGTCCGTTTTTATCTCTGGGACGCAGGAGGTGGAGGAGGTGGTCTCAGTGATAGAACAGTATGCTGAGGCATCTGGCTCAAAGATCAATCAGAATAAAAGTGAGGTCTTCTGGATGGGAGAGGAAGGTGAAGGCTTTGAGCTACCAGATGCCTTCCCAGAGCCCCAGAAGGAAATTAAAATTGTAGACATCAAATTTGCTTCTGGTGATTACGGCCTTGAAAATTGGGTAAGCAGGCCACAAGATGCCGATGCCAAGGTTTCTGATCCCAGTATTTCTGTATGTCAGCTTTGTCTGTGTTCTGTGTGAGGATGGGAAGATTCGGGGTCTTGAGAAGGACAGGTGGCAGCTGTGGGCCTGGACAAAGGCGTGGAGGAATGTCAGGTCGCCTCATAGCTGTCTGTCAGTCTCTGTGTGTGCAGCTTTTCTCTCTGTCCTTTCATGTCTCCTAGATTTTATAAGATCAGATTTTTGGAAAAAGTCTGCATGTATGGGATAAATGTTTAATCGTTTCTTAGCCTGAGGGTGTATTTAGCTGGAGGTAGGGTTTTGTTTTGCATAATTTGGTATTTTTCGGATAATAAAGTTATGTTTCTATGTATATACTTCTATTTATGTTATTTTCAGAAAAAAAGTTATTTTCTGTTATTTGTTGATGCAAGCTTGTTTGTTTTTGTTTATATATATATATATATATATATATATATATATATATATATATATATATACATATACAGTGCTCAGCATAAATGAGTATACCCCTTTTGAAAAGTAAGATTTTAATCAATATCTCAATGAACACAAGAACAATTTCCAAAATTGTGACAAAACTGAGTTTTATAGAACATTTGTTTAGCTCATTACATGAAAGTAAAGTTAATAACATAAGTTATATTACAAAATCTTCAGTTTTACTCAAATTAGTTGATGCAAAAATGAATACAACCCACAACAAAAACTACTACATCTATTATTTTGTATGAACTTCATGATTTGTAAGGAAAGCACCAAGTCTTCTAGGCATGGAATGAACAAGTTGGAGACATATTGCAACATCTATCTTTTTCCATTCCTCAGGAATGACCTCTTTTAGAGCCTGGATGCTGGATGGAGAGTGATGTTCAAATTGTCTCTTCAGAATTCCCCATAGGTATTCTCAGATCAGGAGACATACTTGACGTTCACCCTGTTCTTCTTCAGGAATGCAACAGTGGCCTTAGTTGTGTGGTTTTTTTGTTGGAAAAGTGCACGACGGCCAAGGGCATGGAGTGATGGTAACATCTTCTCTTTCCGCATAGAGTAGGACATCTGTGAATTCATGACACAATCAATGAAATGTAGCTCCCAAACACCAGCAGCACTCATGCAGCCCCACACAAGGACACTGCCACCACCATGTTTCACTGTAGGCAGCATGCATTTTTCTTTGTACTCCTCACCTTTGTGACACCATACAGTTTTGAAGCCATCAGTTCCAAAAACATTTATCTTGGTCTCATCACTCCAGAGTACAGGGTCCCAGTAGTCTTCTTCTTAGTCACCATGGCCCCTGGCAAATTCTAGACGGGCTTTTATGTGCATGGACTTTAAGAGAGGCTTCCTTCATGGACAACACCATGCATGCCATTCCTCTGCAGTGTACGCCGTATTGTGTCATGGGAAACAATCACCCGTTTGGCTTTCTACTTCTTTAGCTAACTGCAGGGAACTTGCATGGTGATTTTCTTCAACCCTTCCCATCAGAAGACGCTCCTGTCGAGGCATTAACTTCCATGGACAGTCTGAATGTCTCTGTGAGATGGTTGTAGTTCCATCTTTGTTACATTTTTATATCACTTTTGCTACAGTATTCAGCTTTGCTGATCTTCTTGTAGCCTTCACCTTTCTTGTGAGGGAAAATGGAACAGCCATTTTATATATCAAACATTTAGTTTTGATTAAGCAGATATATATTGAATGTATATTTTGTTATTAGAAGTCTTATTGTGTAACAGCTGTATTTCTTGTGTTAGAATGCTATTTACACCTCCAGCTGGGAAGATTGCTATCTAAAGA